TATTTGGTCCTAAGTGCTGCTCCCTATTGCATTCATTACTTCTGTATTCTGTTTTATTTTTCCCCAGAGTATGAAGCACCAGTTCCCCTCCCAGAGACCACAGAGAATACGGTGTGTGCTCTGGGCCTGGTTGTGGCTCTGGCGGGCATCATTGTTGGGACCGCCCTCATCATCAAGGGTGTGCGCAAAGGCAATGCTGCTGAACGCCGAGGGCCTCTGTGAGGCACCTGCAGGTAGGTTTGATGTCAGAAGAAGACATATGTGGAGTGATTCAAGGAAAGGAAACAGAGTCGGAAAAGGACATGTGATACCTTTAAGGGAAGGGGAAATGACTGGAAAAGCCATGGCTATTGAATTATCTTTGCTGTTCAGAATCAGACATTGGCATCTTCTGGTATCCCAAAGATTTATGGTGCTACACCCCTTTCCGTACACTTGAACCTAAGACCACACCCTCTGTCTTGGAAATTATCTCCAGTAGCTAAAATAATTGTTTCACATTAGAATTCTGAGTCCCATGATCTGGGAAAGTCAACCTCAAGACTAAGACATTTCTTGGCTTATGTTTCCTAAGACAGGACATCAATTCTGAAGCATTTCCAGAGCTTTGCTCTTTGGGGTGCAGGGTAGATTCACAGTATGAAATGGAAATCTCTTGGAGACCAATGCCTGTTTTTGCCTCCAATCTGAAAAATGATGTCAGATGGTCTGCTCATTTGTGCTTGCTTGGAAGGTAGGTCAGAGCAGTTCATGTTGGAAAGGCTGTATTTACTAGGGATCAAACAAATATTAAGAGGCTTTCCCAGAGTTGAAGGATTAAGAGTGAAGAGGAAGGAATCTGAAGGTAAGAGCTCAAACTATTCATCTTAAACTCTATAGTAACTATGTGTGTCTTCCTTCAGGTAATGGATTTGGGTAGAGAGAAGATCAGTGAAGATATTTCTGCTTGAATAGCTTTACAAACCTGGCAATACTCCAGTTGTTCACCTCAGTGAAGACAACCATCCTTCAGGACTTTCCAGCCCTCAGCTACTCTAAGAGTAAAGACGCCTTCTTCAGTCTCCAAATTCCAGTGTCTCGTTATTCCCTGTCTACTGCTTCTTCTTGTATTGGCTTTTCCTCCATTTCTCACTGCCTTTTTATTAGCACCATGTAATCCGTTTGGAATAGATCCCATAGGATTTTTTCTCTGCTATGGAGCCTTTTGAATGTTCTCTGGGGGCATCCCCTGTACACTTACTACTTGGAGATTTTTCCAACTGTGATTGTGATTTTTCTGAATGCAATAAACTTGAGTGGGTCTTAAGTGGAGTTTTTGGTTTCTAAGCCAGTTCTTCACACGGGCTGGGGAATACATGTGATCCTTCCATCCTGAGATATTTGAATGTTGAATGTATCTCATAAGCTCTGTAATTAAGCAGAAATATCCCAATACATTAGGGCTCAGTTTCATTCAGAGAGTCTGCAAGAATCCAGTTGCTGTGGTCCAGTCCTCATCTGGAAAACCCTAGAGTAGGTTTTATTTGTTCAGAGACAACTTAGCAATGGGTTCACAATCTGATTTGGGTTCTTAAGCCTCCAAATCAGTGAGATATTTGGGTCATCAGTAGAGTGAATCTCAAACCCTAAGGCAGGCCTCTGATAATGGGTGAGACAGATGGCAGCAGAGAGCTAAGCAGAATACGGGAGCATCCATATACATAACAGAATTTGCATATCAACACCACGCATTTTAGACTTGAGGAGGAAGGAGATTGCACCCTGAGGATTGGCATTACCTCAGTCTTACTGATTTGGAATTTAATAAGCTTGCAGTCAAAGAATATATTCTGTGTGATTTTAATCCTGTAAAATTTATGAGATTTGTTTTAGTCATAGTATACAGTCTATTTTGTGGATATGTTTCATGAAATTTAAAGAAATATTAGATATAGTCAATTATACACATCAATTACAAATGTCAATTAGATCAAGATGGTTGAAGTATTATTCATATCTTTGATATCCTTACTGATGGTTGTTTGCTTGAAACTATAGAGATGTTTTCTGCTTTCTTTCTTTCTCCCAAGTTCCTACACCACTGCCATGAACTCAGCAAAAGTCCTGGGAGAAGAATCAGTTGACAGAGAGAAGTAGTCTTATATGATACTGGGACCTGTATAGACTCCAACCCATCACACAAGCCCACAGGTTCATCTAAACCTTTGCTGGCTTCTCCTTACCCCACCACCATCTCCTGTTCTGGTCCAGGCTCAATCTCACACTCATGTTGATGTTCAGCAGATGACCCAAGAGACAAGATAGGCACTTGTTTCTGTTCACCTAAGTAGAGGTCGTCCATCTCCAGATTTTGGCATTGTTAAGTTTTTCTGCATCTACAACTCTTTGAAGTCTTTAAAAGTGATATTTTTTCCAGTTTATTTGTTTAGTTTTATGAAAGTTCTGAACACAATTCTCATGTGGGGTGTGGGGGGAGTTTCCCCCTATACCTTCAAGCAATTCTGTGCAACACCAGCTGGGTGTTCTATAATTCAGCTCAATTCTGACACTGTCTACCCAGATAGAGCATCAGATTCCATAGGTTAAGGGCTCAGTCCACAAGAATGAACCCAACCTATTTCAGATGCCAATCACAAGCAGTAGGTCCCCAGTTTACCTGCAAATTTTCTCTGATTTGGCTACAAATTGGAGGTTCCCAAGACCCCTACCTCAGATTTGATTAATTTTCTAGAGAGGCTTACAGAACCCAGGGAAGCACTTACTTATGCTCACCAGGTTATTGAGCAGTAAGATAAAGGATACAGAGGAACAGCCAGATGATGAGGTACATAAGGAGAGGCCTGGGAGTGTCCTGAACACAGGAGCTTCTGTCTCATGGAGTTGGGATATGTTACCCTTCAAATGCAAACATGTTTGCCAATCTGGATGCTCTCCAAACCCCGTATTATTGGGATTTTATGGAAGCTTCCTTATTTAGGCATGATCAGTTATTGACTCCATTTCCAGGCCCTCTCCCTTCTCTGGAGGATGGTGGGAAAAGATGAAAATTCTAAGCTACTAATCCTGGCTTGGTCTTTCTGATGACCAGCCCCATCAGGAGCCATCCAGGAGCCACCCAGAGTCACCTCATTAGAATAAAAGATGCTTTTAGTGTTCTTATCACTTAGGAAACTACAAGGGTTTTCGGAGTTCTGTGCCAGCAAGTGGAGGCAGAGATCAATATATATTTCCGTTATCCCATAAGTTTACACATTTTTTTCCTTGTTCTTATGGTGACAGTTGTGGTCCTTGTAACTTTCATCATCCTAACTGGCCCTATGATTTATGGCAGGGTTTCCCGCGCTCCCCTAGCCGTTTGATGGTGCTAGTTCATTCATTTAAAGTTCTGTATGTTATTCCTTTGTTCGGCTACACCATAATTGATCTGTTCTCTATCTCAAACTTTAGAATGCCTTTTTCCTCTTCTTTCACATTTTTCATAGTGATCTTAGGGGGTGTATGTAAGAATTTATCTAGCGTGGAAACACCCAAGATGAAAGTACTGGGTTCTCCAAACTACACAAAGGGGTACACCAACTTATGCTCATATGTCCGTGTGCAGGACTCAAATATAATCCTGCAGAATGCTGTTATTTCACATATTTTATAATCTTTTGATGTAGGAAATTTTCATAATACAGACAAGTTTATTGGGTTTGTTTTTTTTAGATTTGGGAAATGTTTTTATTATTCCAAACTCTGGTGCAACAAGCATTCAATTTTATGTCTCCTTGGGCCTGTGTAGAATTATTTCTTTAAGATAGACAACTGGATATTAATTTTTGTTGTTGCAGCATTTGCATTTTAAATTTAAATAGATACTGCCAGTCTGTCACCCACTCATTGTCCTAATAACAGTATATCAGAGAATCCAATTCTACAGAATTTTCTAAGTCCTTGATTTAAAAAACAAACTATTATATTTGCCAATTTGGAAGAAGAAATATTTCATCACATTGTTATTTGAACTTGCATTTTTCTGATTTCTAATGAGCTTGAAAAAAATATTTCATGTTTTATTGACCAATCATTGGTATATTCTCTTCTACAAATAGTCTATATCCTTTGCCAAATTTTTTGTTGGATTTTTGTTCATTTATTTATCAACTTGTTGAAAATTTTACATAATAAAAAGACCCAATGTCTGCCTTGTGTGTTGCCAAATTTTTTCTGGAGCTTTACATGTTTCTTCTAATTTTATTTTCTCCATGGAAAGAAAATGTCTATTTTTATTCAAATATATTTTTCCTTTATGTCTTCTGGATTTTTATCTTGCTTAGAAAGATTTCTTTTCTGCTAAGTTTATTTTTAACAACTTTAGTGGAATACAATTTATATACCACACATTTACTCTTTCTACATGCAAAATTCAATGGTTTTAGTAAATTTATAAATGTGTAAAACTACCAACATAATCCAGTTTTAGAACATTTCCATCACCCCCAAAAGTCCCCTGTTTACAGTCAATCCCCACCCCTATCCCAGGTCCTAGGCACCTACTGATCTGCTTTTTGTGTCTATAAATGTGCCTTTTCTAGATATTTCATGTAAATGGGATCTTATGACATGTAGTCTTTTGTGGCTTCTTTCATTTAATATAATATTTTTGAAGTTCATCTGTCTTTTTTTTAGTATGTATAATCATTTCCTTTTTATATTTTTCAGTTGTTCCTTCTTATTGTAGAGGAGTAACTTCATTGTATGGCTATAGTATGTTTTGTTTATCCGCTCACTCACTGATGGATATTTGTTTACAGTTTTAGACTATTATGACCAATGCTGTTACACACATTTGCACACATATATTTGTGTGGACTTATGTTTTTATTTCTCTTGGGTACTTTTCAAGGAGAGGAACTGCTGGATCATATGACAAATATATTTTCTGACATTTTAAGAAAACACTGAAGTGTTTTTCAAAGAGGTTGTAATATTATACACTCTCACCAGCAGTTCATCAGAGATGAGAAAGGGCTTTTGCTTTCAAACATAATTATAACAATGACGATGACAGTAATGGAAATAATACAATCTTTAATGTATTAATTTTATACTTTTTTATGTTTCAATTTTTATTCATCAAGAATCCATTTTGTTGAAAATAACGAGTTTGGGATACACCTTACAAACAACTTGAAACTATCTTAACTGTTCATGAATTTAATTCTGGACCCTGCTCCACTGGTATACTTAATCAATAATGAATCAATAGGAGGAAATAGTGCTTATTAAAATAGATTTATAATAGGTTTTAGCATCTTTTAAAGTTAGTCACTCCTTATTACGTGTCTCTTTTCAAAAATTGCCCTGGAAAATAGTTTTCCTGATAAAATTAAGTATCAGTGCATTACGTTCTAAAGGCAAATAATGCTCTTGCTTTCATTCATTTATGTATTTATTATTTCTAGTAATTGGCTTATGACCGGCCTTTAATACTCAATATTTTTTTAAAAAGCCCTCAAACCCTTGAATTGATATCACCCATTAAGAATGTATCATCTCTCATGGGGGAAATAATTAAAAATACAAATAATCAAATAAGCTAATAGTACCAGAAACCTGGTTTCCTATTTTAAAATTACTCTCCCTTGCCTCATCTACAGTTTTTTTCTTTCTAAAAAGCAAATGATTTTGCTTCTTTTCTTCCCAGTTGCTTCAGGTGAGTCACACACACGACAAAAAGGGTGACTCACGGTTTGTGTGATTGTAAGGCCCCTGTAATCCCATGGTGCTCCTCACCGGAGGGGAAGGGGTCTAAGGAGAATATCTGGGGAAAGGTTGCTCCTTGTGAAAGCGCACAAGGAGAAACGGTTCCTTTTCCTGCCTTTGAAAGTGATTTGCGAGAACAGGAAGCCTCAGGCTGCCGCAGGCATCCTACTCCCGTCCCAGGAAAGCAGACATGTGGGGGAGGACAGAGGGCAGTGGGACACACTCCCAGCAGTGTTGGTGACGCCACCAATCTGGTGAACTGACCAGCTCTACCTGGAATCGATCTGCTATGGGAGATAAGTTAAATTACAATAAAGACAATTGATTGAATTTTCTGCTACTAGTAGCAGAGCTCATTGAATATTCATGCCATTCACTTTAATTCTACCTTATAATTCCACACCCCAGGTCTCAGATGAATTGAGACAATTCATGTCTTCATCCCAGAGAACAAATCAAGAATAAAGTTACAACCCTGGGATCAGCAGAACTTCCCACAGATTGCAGGTGTTAGTATCAATTTACCAAGTTCCCTGTTTCACACAAATAACACACCATATAATTAACTACACATAAAGTAAGCTTTGAATTTGCTTGATAATAAAATAATAGTTGTCTCTGACAGTGAAGAAATTGTGTTCACCTGACTATTCCTTTGAAATAAACTTTTGAATATCTCATCTGCTCTTTAGATCTGATTTACATTTGAAACTGACTCTTCAGAGGAATTTCAATAGCAGAAACCATCATCTTCTTAACCAATGTAATTACCTTTCTCTGAAACCTATCCAACTTCTTTATGTTATTGAAGTCTATGAATTTTGAACTATATACTGATCTATAACTATGTTTCTGCACTGTCTTATAAAAGGATCAAAACAGTTTTGATTTTCTTTTCTAGCTTATTTCCCATCATACACATTTTTTTCAAGTTTGTTTCAATTGTTAGTTTGTTTTCAGTTTTTAGGTATTGCCTTTTTTAACTTTTGATTTAAATTTTCTATTATATACAATATTTTAATGTTTCTCAAGATAAAATTATTAAATAAGATATATTCAGAAAAGTCCAGCTTTCATCTTTGTCTCCCTCAACCTTCATTTTGCCCCATAGGCAATGAGTTTTTAAAAAAATTTCTTCTATTGTTTTTACTTACAAATTGTAATAAAACAATATTTCCCAGCATTGTCTCTGATTTCTGCTGAGCAAAGATCCCTATAGGATTCTCCTGTGACAGACAGAAAGTTTGTCACTCAATCTGGAAGCCCTCAGAAATGCATCTTTTCCATCAATGTTGCACTTGGTCCTGATGGCCTGAGAATTTTTATGGAGAAGGGTATGTTCCAAGCCAAACAGTCGGCACAGAACTGATTTTTATCTGATAGATAAAGGACTGAAGTGTTGAAGCCCACCCATAATCCAAAGGGGAGTTCAAGAATTACCCAAGTTTAGAGACTTTCTTTTTAAAATATCAGGGAAAAACATACAAAAGAACATGATTATGAAAATTTTGAAGGCATAACACCCTTATAAGGCACCTGCATTTCTTGTATTTGTTGTCCCTTTCTGTATCCCATGGTATGAAGGAACTTTTATATTTGTCTTTGAGAATGCAAAGAGGCAAGAGACCACCCTGATATGGGTGAATGAAGGACTTTCTCCTAGCTCAGCTAAATATTCCTAATTACAGAATACAGAAAATTCAAGATAAAACAGAGAATGAAGGAAGGAAAACTACTATGATCCACAAGTGACCAAAATTCAGAAATAAAAATAAAAACCATTATTGTATCTTAATGAAATCCTCTTGTTGGGGTTCAGGGAAGGTTACCTCCAAATATGTCACAATGGCATATTGATAATTTTGAATTAAATTTACTTAAATAAACAGCCAGTGCAAGAGAGACACTCTGACTGTCCTTTCTTTCTTCCTGAAAGCAGGAAATAATCTCTGCTGTGAAAGATACACCTGCTACATCTGGAGGTAGGACACACATCACCAAAGACAGGAATTCAGACCAAGAAGACTTGCTACGTCTTTAATTTACTACCCAAGCCCGAACTCTGTTTAGATTCTTCACTATTTGAGCGCCCAAAACCTACGTTTCTTTGTTCTATCAATTACCACAAATTTATTGTTTCTTTGTCTAAAAAGCATAAAAGCTGCCTGCTTTGGCCACTTCTTAGGTCCTATTTCTATGAGACTGCCATGCACGTGAAATAAAATCCATTTCATTTTCTCTTGTTAATCTGTTTTGTGTCAACTTTATCATTAACACAGCCACAGGAACTCAAGAGGAGCGGGGTGGCGGGGGGGATTTCTCTGCCTCCCCTTCCCCGCCCCACTCCCTTTCCCTTAAAGCTGTATCAGACAGGTGGTCCTCACTCCATGTGTATTTGAGAAAAACTTTGTGAAGAAATGTGGGTAAAAGCTATGTTCAAGTGCAAGGAAGGCCATAAAGGTTGAATGAAAAAAGGACCAGGAAAAAATGAAGATAAGGCGCTGTCTTCAGTATCGGGGGTTTCCGGGTCAAGGGCAGGGCTGAGGAAGCCAGCAGGGAGGGCATTTTCTGCAGGGTCACTGAACCAGGGGCAAAGCAGACCCTGAGAAGTACTCTCACTGCGGAAGAATCAGAGCTAAGCAGGAAACTGTTTCATGCTGCAAAGAAGCTGGGACAGAAGGTTCTTCCTTGAGCGTCATCACTTTCCTTCAGCTTAGGAGTCCTGCCAAGAGAGAGAGGACAGAGCTGTTTCCAGATCTAAATTTACAAGCAACTTGTTTACCCCTGTCTCTCAGGGCCTCGTGTTAAAGCACGGTGGTAAGAAGGGGAAAAGTCCTTAAGTCTCCCTGATCAAAGCTGCTTTCGAGCGCCTGCCTTCAGTTTAGTGGAAGGAAGACGCTTTAGTGTAAACTGCCGGATCCGAAGTCAGATCCAAAGTCTTTTCCATCATTTCTGTCTCTTTCTTGTCGCCTCTACAATCTGTTCCAGGGAGACTAAATATGTCTCTAGAAGAGTGTTAATTTAGAGCATTACCTGTTGGCTGAAGTCCAGATGTTCTCAAAAAGAGGAGAAGATGTACACTTAAGAGATATGGAGGTAAATCTGTTCCCAAACTCAATGTCCCCACGCCCCTGCCACCCGGGCCATCACTCTTCTAAGACCTCTAAGACCACAGCCCACATCACAGGATGCCAGGGTAGACAGGAAAGCAGACACCAAGGGCGTGCGAGCCCTGAAGAGTCTGTCACACAAACCCAGTGAAATGTCATCAGCCTCGGGTCTCTTCCTGCACTTGTCCCAGGATCTGCACCCAGATCTCCGTGTATGTTCTACTTCTTTTTATCTCTACAAACTATCAACTCTTATGTTCCAAACATCAGTAACTATGAACTATTGATTTCTGGATTTCCCGGAAATTGAGGTCAATTGGGGAAATAAAGGCTTTATATGGACCACTGATATAAAAAGAACTAACTGAGCAAAACCATCGTTCTTCTTCTAAAAGATGTCAGTGGGGATTCTCAGCTGCCAACAGGCTCCTTACCTTTCTGGTTCCTGAAGTAGACGAACAGCCCCACCCCAAGGCAGAGCAGACCCAGAACGAAGCCCCCGATTCCACTCAGCATCTTGCTCTGAGCAGATTCAGACTGTGCCCCTGAGGAAAGAAGCTAGTTTTAGTGATTTTTTACCCCAAATCCAAACCTCCTTAATTGAGACTGAGATCGAGAGCTTTGAGAATGGGGGAAGAGGGCTGCCCTGGAAGAACTAGAATAGCTGGCCTCTCCTAGAAAAAAATCGGAATCACAGTGAGTAGCTACAAGGTTCAGGCATCAAACTCATAAATACCACAGTCCTGACATGAGGCCACATGACTGCAACATCTGATGAATGAGGAGCCTGGGACTGAATGATGCTAAGAAGCTTGTCTAGGGTGACAGAGCTAATAAAAGGCAGAGCTGAGAGAGGGAGGACACCCCTTTGGTCAGGAAGGGCCCTACATTGGAGAGGATGTGCCCCTTCTCAGATCACAATGAACTCAGAGCAACAGTGTCAGAATCACAAGCCTAGTACAAAACAGGGGACTGGTACCCAAAGCCAAGGGGTGACCATGACCTGTGACATCACAGGAAGCTCGAAACAGACACACCTCTTCCCTGCATGTCAGGCAGAATTGCCTCCCCAGGGGGCATAGGTATTTGTAGAACC